TATATACAGAGTTCTTCGTTGGGGGGGGGGAGGGTTGATAGTGAAAATAAGTCCCAACCAGGTCACGAACATTAGTTATGCCACTGCCCATCACACTCTGCCAAAGTCTAGCGTCATTGGTGGTTCTGACCAGGGGAGGAAACAAACAGGGGACGCCATAAAGCTGCCTGTTATTAGACAATCCGTGATGTGTGTGTGTGTGTGTGTGTTTGGGGGCGGATGCTAGATCCAAGAAACCCTCAAAATACTGCACAGTTTTCACTTCCATTTTATTTGTTGTTAATTGAAGAGGGTGTTCAATAATTTGCATATACATGAGTTTAAGTGTACAGAAGGTCTAAACATGTATAAAATTGGAAGCTTGTTCCAGTCTTTGGGCAGGAATCAGGAGCTCCTGTACTGGGGTATTGTTTTAAGTTGTCTTGTGTCGGCCTGCACGCGTTTTTTTCACAACGTATTACGGCCGCCATACATATTGAGTTGTGCAGGCCTGATCTATACCCATCTCTCCTAATGTTTGCGTCTGTGAGTGTACGTGTGTGTGTGTGTAATGTTCATTCAAGATGACGGAGGCGTAAAAGATGCATCTCGAGAAAGACACTTTATGGCGGTCGGTGTCATCAAGCTGACACGTTTCAGCACGCGGCTAAACATTTGTTTATCATAGTCAGTGTCATAGTCAGTGTCATAGTCAGTGTCACTGTCCGAGTCACTGTCAGTGTCACGGTCATGGCCACGGTCAGGGCCACGGTCACGGCCACGGTCACGGCCACGGCCTCACTGTCACAGTGACTGTCACAGTAACTGTCACTGTCACCGTACCGTCACTGTCACAGTCACTGTCGCAGTCACTGTCGCAGTCACCGTCACCGTCATAGTCACCGTCATAGTCACTGTCATTGTCAAGGCTAACGAGTCCCATCCATCCGGGGTGCTTGGGATCTTGGCTTTGGTGGGGATTGAACTCCAGACCACCAGATATTTGGTTTGAGACAGTTTAGACCGCTCGGCCACCCAGCACCAAGTTACAAGTATTATAGAGCATATAGCGCGTCCATCTCTTCCATCCAAATATGGCGAACACGGCTGTTGAACAGCCTTTCATTTCGTTGCTGCCTCTTGTATTGTCTTGTCTGCTGGAGTCGGCATTTAGCCGATACGTTCTCCTTCTACCGCCCCATCTTTTCATTTGAAGCTTCCCCATACCTTGTTCCACCGTTTCATTCACATAACTTCAAGGCAGCTTGTTTATCCTCTTGTCATCCCACACAGAGAAATGAAATCGGTAAACATTTCAGTCGGGTGAAATCTGTTATCCCCATCAAAGATAAACAAAATCACATTTACACTTATTCTTCGTAAAGTTGTTAAAGTATCCAGCAGATAATATACATGGGTTCTAGTTCTAGCGTGGGAAATACGTGATCTAACTTAGGTGGAGATGTCACGATGACAATATTCCTTTGACATATTGTTATCGAAAACCCTTATGCCATTGCTCTATATATGGTGTCCCATGGACGTAGTAAATGAGAGTGGATGGAGGTGGGTCCCCTTCCAGTGGATCTACTTTAATGCGGAAGAAACGTTCTGTCCACAATTTCATGCACTTCAAACATCATATTTTACTGTATATTATGTACGGCATGCAAAAACATTCGAAAAAGTTAAGTCAATGTAGATACATGTATTTTTTTATTTTTTTTTGTGAAAATGAAAAACATGTTTTCGCCCGAATGACCTATTTTGTTTGTATGTTTGTTGATTTGTTTGTTTTCTACGTCAACAATGATTATACCCCGAAAAGGTAGTAACTGCATTTGTTATGTTTTCTATGTTTTATTTCCAACAATAAACATTAACATAAATACCAGTTCTCAATCATGGTGACTTTCTGCTTACTTCCGGAACACACTGTTCAATCACAGACACTCTGATTACAATGTCTTCGCTCATGCGCGCCGTTTGCCCTAGTTGGCTTCCAGGACGGTCCAGCCCGCTAGTCCACTATGACAACATCAACAGGGAATGACTCTTTATTAGTAGCCATTACATCAATAGGAATGTCTCTTATGAGATGCTCTACATCAGCGGTTCTCAACCTGTGGGTCGCGACCCCTTTGGAGGTCGCGCGACCGTTTTCCAGGGGTCGCCTATGACCATCTGAAAACACATATCCTTACAGATATGAAGTAGCAACGAAAATAATTGTGTGGCTGGGGGTCGCCACGACACGAGAAACTGTATTAAAGGGTCGCAGCACTAGGAAGGTTGAGAACCACTGCTCTACATCATTACGAATGACACTGTCAAGCAATCGAGATTACACTCGTCTAATACGGTTCCCTGTGCTTCGGCCATTGCCGATACACGACTCGTTTCTCTGTATTTGTTTGAAGAAAGGGATGAGACATAGGACCGGGTGTAACTGTTGCATGATGATCAAGTTGAATAACAGAAGTCTGCAAGCTTTCGCTGACGGTTTTGACAGAAAACGGGACGTCACGTGTTAAATAGTAACCATGTCAAGCAGAAATTTAAAAAAAAAAAAAATTATAAAATCCTCAAATCCCAGGTTGCAGGACAAGCCAGCTACTAAAATAGTTTTCTAGCACTTATTGAAATTAAAGAGAACATACGTCAAAAAGACTGATAAATTGTTATGTAGACTGGAAATTACCAATTGGACTGGCCTGGATGTATTCATGGTATAAAATAAAAACCGCAACGCGTGCCTACAATGGCACGCCTCCTCCCCCCCCTCCCCAGCCCCCACAAGCGCGGGGGCCTTGTGCGGCCACCCCTTCGAACCCAACCTAGTACTGGGCCTGAACAAAGCTCAAACTAGAAATCATTCCCCCCCCCCCTTTTTTTTTAGTTTGTATCTAGTCTGATGACATTTCTAGCATGACTTATGACATCCATAAATTATATTTATATTCCACAGAGACGCGATCGGATTTGTCTTCTCTAAAATTGATTTTATTTTTATTATCTTATTAATGCTATTTATACATTTACTCTTAAAATATATTGTTTTAGTTTTGAAGCGACATATGACGTGGTTTAAGATTAAAATCCTTTTGAAAGCCGAAAAAACGAGTAGGTGACTCATGAAGGAAAACTTAATTCCATCAGCTTTAAAAAAAAAAAAAAAAAAGTAGATTTTAATGTCTTATTACCAGTAAGAAATTAAACAAACCTCATTACGTTGTTAAAATGTCAGTTTATTCTGTTTTGTTTTTTTTTTTAAATTCTATTAAATGCAGAGTTTATTAAAAGTAAATGCTATGCTTTTATTAATTTATAGAACTCCATAAAAATCAAAGCAAAAGTTGTGTTCTCAATAAAGTAATTTTTTTTTTTTTGCTAAAAATATACGTGCCCGATCTACAGCACAATTTCAATTTGACTCATGCATACCAAAAAAAACCACACAAAAAAAACATACAAAGTAACAGACAGTTTTCACATTAAAAGTTATCCCGTTTCAAAAAGCTCTGATTATTATGTGTAAACCATATTTGCTATGTACAATGTCATAAATGCTTTTAAGAATACTGTAAGACATGGAGAAATTGTTAAACTTATTGATTGAAGAGATTTGGCATAACAGATAATCGAATACTGACACACTAACTATTTAACAGAGACCTTATTTGTATTTGTTCCTCCATAAATTTGTGTAGAAATTGACCATTTCAGATTAAATGCATTCATGGAGTGTTGGAAGATATCTCTGTCTAAATAGTGTATAATTTGTCTAAATAGTGGATAATTTGTCTAAATAGTGGATATTTGTTTACAATTTGGATTTTGTCTAAAAACAGCGGTTCTAAACATGTGGGTTGTGACTCCTTTGGCCGTCGAATTGTCCTTACACAGGGGCCACTTATGACTCATTGGGAAACCATATTTTTGAAGTAGCGACGAAAATGAGTTCATCAGAAGCGGCCACCACAACTTAATGAGCGGTGTTACAGGGTCACGGCACTGGGAAGTTTGAGTGAGAACCACTGGTGTAAAAGGTGTGCACCTTTAAATAGCGAAATTTTATTTTCGAGCATCACCATCCCACACCCACACCTTTATCCACTCTCCCCCCACTCCTCACACCCAAAAGATTTATGCATTTTTTCAATTTGTGTTTTTAATTGGAACTAGAGTTATTTATTCATTTTCACTGTTCAAAAATCAATTATGTTCGCACCCACTCTATAAAACAAATTGGTCCATTTAACAATACCTCTGTTTTCAAGATCAGCTCAACGAGAGTATTGGCCACAATATAAATTCTAAACATAAAATTATCCAGGCTAAAATCGGCACATACAGTTCAAGGCCACAGAACACATTTCCCATTTTTTTTTTTTTTATAATATGGACATTTGTATTGAGTTCGTAATTGAAGTACCGGTAAATTAATTTGCAAAGCCTTCAAAATTTACACTTGAAAATAAAACAGTTAAAACCTCTTAAATATTTACACTATTAAAATAAAGATAAATACATCTTTGCATACATGCATGATAACAATGACACTCTATTTAGATGGTTCACTTTTTTTTTCGGGGGGGGGGGTTCAAAATGTTACAAGATATGGGCGTCATTTTCAAGGTCATTGAAACACAATTTTAAAACAATGCTGGACGCTTTGTGGACATTACAATGACACTCATTTTAGATGGTTCACTTTTTTTTTCGGGGGGGGGGGTTCAAAATGTTACAAGATATGGGCGTCATTTTCAAGGTCATTGAAACACAATGTTAAAACAATGCTGGACGCTTTGTGGACATATCAGAACTTTCCAATTACCGCTACGAATTCAGATCCTCGCCAGGGAATCTTCAGAACTTGAACTTCCGCTTCCTCTTGGCTTTGGCTTCCGCCTTGGCCCTGGCCTTCTCCGTGATGTTTCTGTAGATCTCCTCCTGCGCTTCTCCGGGCACCCACGGGATGATCTTGGGATCCTCCACGGCGCCCGGCTCGGGCGCCTTGCTGAAGAACTTCCTCGTGTCGTCGCTGGGGCCGTACTTGACGCACTTGTACACGGTGATGGCGGCGAAGATGATGGTCAGCCCGACCATGATGGCCACGATGATGCCGGCCTGCGCTCCCATCGACAGGAAATTGACGTACTCTGTCGTGGTGGGCGGCGCCCAGTGGGTCGTGGGCGCCGTTGTGGTTGTGGTGGACACGGTGGTGGTGGAGGTCACAGTGGTTGATAGGGGTGTGGTGGTGGGCACAGCATCCTCACATGTGTACTGAACTATGACGTAAGCGGACACGTTTTTATACTTGGTAATGTCGCAGCTTTTCCCCAAATTGATCTCTGTAACTGGCTGTGTGAGGCAAGATGTAAGGGCCTGGCACTCGTTTTTAAAGCTTGCATTTTGATACAGAACTTGGCAGTCGCCCGATTTTAACCTGTCACAGCATTCGGCGGTGTCATTCCCAGAGGGGCATACACTGAAAAATAAAGAGGTAAGTTATAAGTAGAGATCATTTCTTAACACACACACATAACCACATGAATAATCTCTAACCCTCCAACTACAAATAGTTTCATTTTAATCTCTTAATATATTCAATACTTTTTATTCTGTACACAAATGATGATATCGTCAAATATCTTTGCGATGTGAACACAAGATGCGAAGTGAACAGTGAACTCAGAGCGTGGATGTGAAAAGGCTGCAACTAGGACATCAGTGTCGCACTGTAAGTCGCCACAGTCCTTTTGAATAAAGTTTCCTTCCGCGTTGTAACAGGAAAGTGTTTGAATTTTAGGCATTTATTGAACTGAATTTCTGGGATATTTTTTTTTTTTTAGTTGGTTGGGGGAAGGGGGGCGTGAAAATACGCCTTAATATTCTTATACATTAAAATTACATTGTATTTTATAAAAGAATGTTCATTTGCCGGGATTCGTGTTAAAGTCAGCTATGTCTCGGTGTACAACAACAAATCAATGTACAACATTCCAACAACGAATCAATGTACAATTACGACCCAGTGTAAAACAAATATGTGTACAATGAGTATGTTCGTAGACTGTTGCGTTGTAGCTGCTACGGGTGAGATATCTGTACGATTTCAGAAGATAATTATCAAGGCACTTGGAACGCACACAATTCAGGTCTGGCTTAACGCTGTTAAAATAGGAACTTTATTTAGGAATAGAACTCAGTAACATTGCACCTTCACCATGTGGCACAACATATCACCTTCAGCATGTGACGTAGCGTAGCTCTTTACTGAACAGGCGTAAAATAAAACTATTAGCGCGGAAACACAGTTACTGGTTACCGTTGAAGCACAATAGATACGTGACGTGTAGTGGCAGCCCACACATTTGAGATGAGGTGTGTAGGGACAGCCCATAGATGTGTGATATGTGGCAACTGTTTCGTCCCAGCTACTGCAAGAACACAACTTTCGGTGTAGAAACTAAATTTAAAGGCCCCATTAAGGCCCTTTTAAATGGTGTCTGTGGGAGGAATCGTAAGTTCCGATCGGATGGAGGTGGGGGTGGGGGTGGGAGGTGTAGGTGAAGGACGTTAATCTGTCCATCCCGTCCACAGGAAGTTGGATTTCTGGTGTTGTAAAAAGGGGGCAACATAGCTGGCCGGTCTGGTGCTCCTTGGGCGAAGTGATCCCCATTTGCTAAACCAATCAATTGTACGTGGGGCGAGGGGCTTATCAAGGCCTGTTGGGGGGGGGGGTAGATAAAGTGTGATGCCTGATAATAGAGGCTGTCCGGACTGGAGGGTAGGGATTAAAAAAGGGGGGGGGGGGGGTTACTACATAACTTCTCTTAAATTTATGCTCGGCAGTCCCTGCAGTCTTTTCCTCGAGTGTATTTCTTTATCAAATTGATCTAGCCCTCAATCTTATCCAACTTTGTTTGATACTGGTTGACGGGAAGTATTTCAATACCTGCAAGATGAATAGATATCCACTTGTCTTGGATGTTTCATTGATGTTGTATCAACGATATGGCATTTGCGACATTCATTTTTCATTAGTTGTTGCACTAATTTATATAAATATCCTTTACTTGCTCTTTACTGACTTCCTTGTATCTTATACATGCTACTTATTGACTTGTTTGTATCTTTTACTTGCTACTTACTGACTTGTTTGTATCTTTTACTTGCTACTTACTGACTTGTTTGTATCTTTTACTTGCTACTTATTGACTTGTTTGTATCTTTTACTTGCTACTTACTGACTTGTTTGTATCTTTTACTTGCCACTTGGTGACTTCTTTGTATAGTATACTTGCTACTTACCGACTCCTTTGCATCTTTTACTAGCTACTTACCTTTGCAAATTAGTAATGTAATCAATTTGCTATTATGCATTAATTTTTTTGCTTTAAACTTTTTTTTTTGGTAGCAAAAAATTGTGATTTTTTGTATGTTTTGTTTCTGTATCCATACTTTCAGTATTTGACTGGTGCGCCAGTTCGAGGAATAATAAGTGCGTCCTCTTGTCAGGGAAATGTTTCAATCGGTCGAATTACAGGAGGAATTTTAAGCCACTTCTTTTAGTTTGAGCGCCCCCCCCCCTCACCTTTTAAAACATTTCCCACACAAATCACCTATCCCACTTCGGTGAAAACAACTCACGAAATAAATGTGTGTTTTTGCTTTTAAACAAAATGCTGGTGTGGACACACTCTGGTTTCGAACCCAGGACTCATGCGATTCCCACTGCCAATGCACCACAGCCAGGGAGTTTGTTAAAGAGGAAAAAATAAAAACTTCAGTTACCTTTCAGTATTGACATCTAGAGCGCCATAGAAGATCTGTTGGATGTTAATATACTTTCCATTGCAATTGATGCTAACATTTTGATTGTTACAGGCTTGAGTTGTAAGCGTAAGGTACTGAGCGTAACCACATACAAATAGCTGTAACAAAAGGCCACAGTACAACGGGAAGCGAGGGGTGGCCATCTTTGGTTCCCTTCCCTTGAGTTATGGAATCTAAGGAATTAAAAATGTATGTATCAATCTCATATTACAGAGGGAACTAGTTGTTCATAGGATTAGTACGTTGTATAATTAATAATTGAAGTTTGTAAACCAAAACGAATGAGTTGACTACTGAATGATTATATTAAACAGTTAATATATATATTTTTTCAATATTTTTGGATATCAGAGTTGTACTAAACACAACATACATTGTAGAAATACAGAGCTATAAGACTAGAAAGACTTAAATGGGATCAGATGGATTGGGGATAAAATCAAGTGAGCTGGGGATGAAGGCTGACTTGGAGATGGGGTGGGATCAGAATAACTAGGATGGGATTAGGGGGGGGGTGGGAAGGAATGAGGTGTGCTGGGGATGAGATAAGATGTGCCGGGCATGAGATAAGATGTGCCGGGCGTGAGATAAGATGTGCCGGGCATGAGATAAGATGTGCCGGGCATGAGATAAGATGTGCCGGGCATAAGATAAGATGTGCCGGGCATGAGATAAGATGTGCCGGGCATGAGATAAGTTGTACCGGGCATGAGGTCAGATCTGCCGGGCATGAGATAAGATGTGTTGGGCATGATATAAGATGTGTCGGCCATGAGATAATATGTGCCGGGCTTATAATAAGATGTCTTGTGCATGGTATAATATGTGCCAGACATGAGATAACATTTGCCGGGCATGAGATAAGATTAGGCGGGCATATAATAAGATGTGCCAGGCAAAAGATATGATGTGTTGGGCATGCTATAAGATGAGTTGGGCATGATATATGTCCAGGGTATGAGATAATATGTGCCGGGCATGAGATAATATGTGCCAGGCATGAGGTCAGATGTGCCAGGCATGAGGTCAGATGTGCTAGGCATGAGATAAGATGTGCCGGGAATGAGATAAGATAAGCCGGGCATATGATAAGATGTGTTTGGCATGATATAAAATGTGTTGGGCATGAGATAATGTGCCAGGCATGAGATAAGATGTGACGAGCATGAGGTCATATGTGCTAGGCATGAGATGTGATGTGCCGGGCATTTGATAAGATGCGCTAGGCATGAGATAAGATGTGTTAGGAATATGTTAAGATATGTTGGGCATGATATAAGGGGTGGCGATGAGGTGTCCTGGGATGAGATGTGGTGTGTAGATGATGAGGTGTCCCGGGGGAGGGGGGGTGTGATGATGATCCCGCCTCTGAAATTCAACTCATACTTTCGAATAACCGAGTCTATAATTTATATTGGCTGTTTCAGATTGAGCGGCCAACGGCAACTTTGTTTTGGATTCTCTCCCCTTAACTTTGTCTTTGTTTTTTTGTTAAAAGAGTTATTATTATCTAAATAAAGTTTAAAAGTCCTAGTCTTTAAGCCTTCAGCAGTTTTGTTTTAAAAATATAATTCAAAACTTAGTCTTAGAAAACGTTTTAAAACCATAACGGTTAACCACCACAAAAATGTGCAGGTTTCTTTTAAGTTGTAGCGAAGAATTTAACATTTAATTTACCTTCAATATTTTAAAACTTAATTCATAGTTGACCATGGCATTTTAATGGTTTACAGGAAAAGGTGAAAAAATGTTGCAATTCTCTTTTCGAAATATATAATTTTTATATATTTAAAAAAAAAAATATATTTGTTTTGCTTTTGTAACTATACGAATGTGCACCAATGAAATGTGCCAACTTTAGATGGGGCCTAAATCGAATAGTTACAACTGAAGTTAGGTTCGTAACATTGAAGGCATATTTTGTTGTCAAAAGTTAAATTTCCAGAAAAGTACTAACCTTGTATCCAAACAGCACGCGTGTTGATTGAAAGAAAACTTGGATGCAAAGGAAGAATCCAAATCCAACGAAATCGCTTTATGGAGTCTACGAACACGTATAGAGTTAGTCGACCGATATCCAGTGTAGGTCTACACCTGGTCGCCTCCTGATGGGTGGATGGTTAAGAATGACCTAGTTTCGTACACCCGGAGGGTCTACCCCGAACCGTGCAATGACGTAAAGAAGCCCTGGCCACCTTCAAACAACCTTGCCACAGAAATTTGTGTTTGTGTTCAGGCTCCGTCACGCATGGCTGCTCCACGGACGCAGCTACTAACTTATCACGTGACAACAGTGCTCTTTCTGTTTGGTTTGGGGGGGNATCGAAAACAACAGTGAGAACTTGATCACGTGACCTCACTTTTCTTCAACCAAAGCGGGGTGGGGGGAGAGATAAGGGACGGGTGATGGTGACGTCAGTGGCCCATTGTTACGGCAACTTTTGACGACTTACGTTATAACCAGGGGGTTTTGGCCCCCCTTTTTTTCAACGTTGTTTAAAAATCTTAAGGGATTCTCAAAACCTTTTCTTAAACTGAGTTTTATCAATACTAGTTAATATAGACTAGTTGAGCTCTAAGTAAGATAAAATATGGTGTGGGCCTTAGAGCCCAAATCTTAAACCAGGATATGGGCCCTATTACCGATGCATTAGCCCAAGAAAGTTGTTTAAATTACAATTTATCTTTTTAAAAAAAATTGTATGAGTCAGGCAATACTAATTTTGAGATATACAAAAAGACCTCAATTGGCATAGCCGGTTATGATATTGTGTCTGTCATGATCTTTTAACGGACACGATCTTGTAACGGGTATGATCTTGTCCCGGGCATCATCTTGTGCCGGGCACCATCTTGTGCCGGGCGCCATCTTGAACCGGGCATCATGTAATGACGGGGTCTCATTGCTGTAAACACCCTCAAGTTCACAATGGCCATAACTTATTGTTCTTCATTAAAGACGCGGACAGGATTACGTGAACTCGATTACGCAGATGTGATCTACAATTATGATTCACTTGAAAGTAGATCGTACTCCATAGTTTATTCCATATTCGACTACTCATTTTGGGTATCGTTGGGTCTCAAGCCTGAATAGATGCCAATTTTAAAATGTATCGATAAATAACAATTATTTAGTCCATGTCCTTACGTCTGTCTTGTGCATTATCACATTGTAGATTTTTTGTTAAATGACATAAAATTAAATATAAAAATTGATTAAGTCAACCCAACCAAAATTATATGGGAGGTTTGAATCAAGAAACAGTATGTAAATCCTACCGAACCAACTACACCGCGGGATTCGACTCTTATTTTAGAGAGTAGCTTTTTTGAATATGAGTTCTTTCTCGCCATCCGACGTAAACATTTTCAATTTCTGATTTATTAAAAGCGATTCGAAAAAGACAGAACATTTATACCTACCCCCCTATACGTTTTTAAGAGTCGCCATGAGAACCAATAGGCTTTGTCATTTCTTAGACCGGAAAACGTCATAGGGTACTATTTTTAGAAGGTTAGCGGACAAATATTGCTTAAAACATGGCAGCTCATAGTGTGTTTCAGCATAGCGTTCGGACGATCCTTGTATCTCGAGTTACTGTTTTTTGCCGTTCAAGCAATGAAATCGCATTTCAGAAAATAGAAGTAAAAAAAATTATATATGTAAAATATTTCGTAAAACAGAGTTGTAAACAAGTTTCAGGGACACTTCGCTACACAGTAATACTGAACAGTGTTGACATTTTGTCCGCGCTGAGTACCCGGATGATGAGTAATAATGACATCAGTTCTATTAATAGATTTCCGCCATTAAATGACAAGCCCTATAGGAAAGGGCGAGAGAGAGAGAGACAGAGAGGGAGGGAGGTTGACAAGCTGAGCAACTCTCCCTCACATTGAACAAAATACAGCTCAAGTCAAGAATACTACTCAGCCCTCATAAATATATTTAAAAAAAAAAAAAATAGTATAAATCTATATCAACATTTAATAAGCTTTAATACTTATATATTTATATAAATATTATAGACCTATAAGCATATTAATACGCATAATATAATCGTTATTTACAAAAGGGCATACAGTCTTGACATACGTATTAATTAAATATATTTTTTTTTTCAGGCCATGTGTAACTGTTATGTTTATAAAAGGGAGAAAAGATTATGAAAGTTGAAGAAAAAAATAACAGAACTCATTGATTGAAAAGATTGTCTTACTAATGCCCGGTGTCTAACCTGTTGGTTAGTGAACTCATGGCACGCCACACAGGCAGATCTCAGATGTCTCACCAAAGCTCCGTTGTTCACTTGCTGGTTAGCGAACTAGTGATACTATGAAACAGCCGATGTTTAGTTCATCAAACAGATTTCTTCTTATAACTAAGGGCGAGAAACATTTTTTTTTTTTTTTAAATCATTGACATGCGTGAAAGGGTAATAAGGAGCAACGATTTAATTTTAGATTTTTAAAAAATCAATTTAGACTTTTGGAATGTCTGTTTAGGACAGCGAAATGACATTTTGAGAATCACTCTAGTTGTCTGGAACCAAAAAAAAAAATTCTCAAGATCTGATTGATTCAACAAAATGCGGACATTACTGACTTCATGCAAAGTCAGAGGGTTGACTGTTTAAAACAGCTGTTCTCAACCTGTGGGTCGCGACCCCTTTGGGGGTCGAATGACCATTTCCAGGTAGGGGTCGCCTAAAACCATCGGAAAACACTCATACTCCACATTTATCAAGTAGCAACGTACATAACATGTGTTTGGGGGTATCCATAACATGAGGAACTGTATTTAAGGGTCGCGGCATTAGGAAGGTTGAGAACCACTGGATTAGACTACGATATGACTGCATGTTGAGAGGTTACACTATATTTGGTACGCAAGTGGCGGGAGAAAGGAGTGTAAGAGGAGAAGATGTCCGGGGTTGAGAAAGAGTGAGAGTGGAGAAGGGGTATGAGAGGAGAAGATGTATAATGGAAGAAACTTTACAGGGGGGAAGAGATCAGAGGGGGAGATTGGTTGAAAATGGTTGTGAAAAGAGGAGGGGTGAGTGGGGAGAAGAGGTCAGACGGGAGAAGTAGTGAGTTGGGAGAAGGAGTGAGTGGGAAGAAGGAGTGAGTGGGGTGAAGAGATCAGAGGGGAGAAGGAGTGAGTGGGAGAGAAGGAGTGAGTGGAGAGAAGAGATCAGAGAGGAGAAGGAGTGAGTTGGGAGAAGGAGTGAGTGGGGAGATGGAGGGAGTGGGGAAAAGGAGTGAGTGGGGAGAAGAGGTCAGAGGGTAGAAGGAGTGAGAGGGGAGAAGGAGTGAGTGGGGAGAAGGAGTGAGTGGGGAGAAGGAGTGAGTGGGGAGAAGGAATGAGTGGGGAGAAGAGGTCAGAGGGGAGAAGGAGTGAGTGGGGAGAAGAAGTGAGTGGGGAAATAGAGTGTGTGGGGAGAAGTGGTGAGTGGGGAGAAGAAGTGAGTGGGGAGAAGAGGTCAAAGGGGAGAAGAAGTGAGTGGGGAGAAGGAGTGAGTGAGGAGAAGGAGTGAGTGGGAAGATGGAGTGATTGGGGAGAAGGAGTGAGTGGGGAGAAAGAGTCAGTGGGGAGAAGAGTGAGTGGGGACGAGTGAGGGGGAGAAGTGGTGAGACGGGAACAGGTATGAGAGTGAATAAGGTGAGGTGAGAGAGAGGAGAAGGCGTGAAAGAGAGAATGAGTCAGAGAACAGAAGGGGGTGAATGGGAAAAAAGGGAGACAGGAGAAGGGGAAAAACAGGAGAAAGGGACAGACGGGAGAAGCATTTTGAATGCGAAGCGCCTCTCAAATAAAATGAAGTTTTTCTCTTGAATAAGTTGCTCACTCCTCATTGATTATAAAACTATCCATAAAATACAAGCCACATATTATATATGTATCATCCAGATATTATAGGCTTTCAAGGCGGAGGAGCTCCAAGCGAAAAAGAATAGATGGGGCTCATCTGCACCGGACGCCCTCTTCAGGCGGCAACAATGTAGCAATGTTTGAATGGAGTGTGAGTTTATAAATGTAGTAATTTACTTTGTGGAGAAGACGACGGCTTAATCAAAGCTTTTGCCCAGGGGACAGCTTTTGAATGTGTTTGGGGGGGGGGGGGGGGGGGGTAAGTAAAATGTTAGACAGATGAAAAGAAAATGCAAGAGAGTGAAAGAAGATTGGTGGGAGTTTGAGTGGGGGTTGAGAGAGAGAGAGAGAGAGAGAGAGGGGACGAGAGAGATGGAGTGAGGGTGAGAGAGATGGATATCTACTAGCCTGGATGTTACAGCTACTATGAACAGTCAGATAGTCCTGTTGGCCAGTGTTAACTGGGTCATATAGTCCTGGTGGCCAGTGTTAAATTGATCATGTAGCCCTGATGGTCAGTGTTAACTGGATCATGTAGCCCTGATGGCCAGTGTTAACTGGGTCATGTAGCCCTGATGGCCAGTGTTAACTGGGTCATGTAGTCCTGTTGGCCAGTGTTAACTGGATCATGTAGCCATGATGGCCGGTGTTAACTGGGTCATGTAGCCCTGGTGGCCAGTTTTAACAGGCTCATGTAGTCCGGTTGGCCAGTGTTAACTGGGTCATTTAGTCCTGTTGGCCAGTGTTAACAGGGTCATGTAGTCTTGTTGGTCAGCAGGGTCACGTAGACCCAGTGATGACACCTACTAACCTGCATGTGGCCACTGTTAACAGATTAATGATACAGGATTAACCGACCAATTACCAAGGATTTCAAGGTTGCAGATAGCATTTAATGCAATCTACCCAACTTGGCAGACTGCTCTGATGTAATTACAAAATATAACACTAAGGGGAGAGAAGGGAGGAGTGGGGCAGCCATCATGACATGTTATTTTATTTTTAAGCACGAGTCTTTGATTCGACTAAATTAGAGAATCTGGCTGTGTGATTCAGCTCAATAATTATATGACGCCAAAGCAACCTAAGACAAAGCCTCGAACAGGAATATTGGCCAAGCAGCTCAATAAAACTCTCATGTCACTATAACAGAGGTGGCACTATCGACGGTGACAAATGCCTAACGCCCCCCCCCCCCCTGCGAGGTATGTTGATAGTGGTTTCCTCTTTAAGTTGCTTGTTCACACCCCACAGTTTCAAGCGACCCAGCCACCCCACCCCACTCCCTGCGAGGTATGTTGATAGTGGTTTCCTCTTTAAGTTGCTTGTTCACACCCCACAGTTTCAAGCGACCCAGCCACCCCACCCCACCCGAACCCAAAACCACCCAGACCGGACAGCAACCCAACATGAACCCCAACCCCAAACAACCCCCAGCCCCCAACCCTAATAATCATGACCCCTCCGCATCTTTACCGTTCAATACATTCTCCACCCCCCCCCTAAAAATGCTTCACAACGAGCAAAGGCTAGAGGACCGGGGACCTAGGTTTTCTCGGGACCCAGTCGAGTTTACGCTTCAGTGATTTCAACAACAGGTTTACAACCAACATCAGGCCTCACAAATTTTCGGGGCCGCGAGATGAAAGAAGCGGAAACGCTATTAAAAAAAAAAAGAGAGAGAGACAGTATGCTGACGTCGAGATGGTGAATGTAGAACAGTGGTTCTCTACCCGCCTTATGCCGCGACCCTTTAAGACAAGTTTCACAGGTTGCAGTGGCCCACAACGGATAAATCCTGTTTGTTGCTACTTCTTAAATATGTTTTATCCGATGGTCTTAGGCAAGCCCTGTGTAAGGAATGTTTGACACGGAAGGGGGTCACGACCCACAAGTTGAGAGCCACTGATGTGGAGAAAAGACTGGCGTGTAGTCCATGTGATCGTCAACAGATAAACACGATTACAATGTTTCCAGAGGTGAAGGTACCTAAGTCATGGACCCTACAGGCAAGCGTTTATCTCCAGGCCTCACTTCAAAAAGTATTTAACTGAACCTTGTGATTTATTCGGTATTAATTTCAACGTAATACTTAATAACCTAAATTAATATTGTTAGGTGCCGAGTTTCTTTCTGCAACATTTCTTTTGGCGACATTTCCTTTGTCGACATTTCTTTTCTGCATAATTCGTAAGATGTTAATTTAACGTTCGACATTTTTTCAGGGGTTGCAGTTGTATGCCGAGAATGACTCCATAGCAGGGATGTGAGAGAGGGTGAGAGAGATGGGAGAGAATGAGAGAGATAGAAAGAGATCGTGAGAGGATAAGAGATATTGAAAGAGGTGGAGAGAGGGTGAGATAAAAGATGAGAGAGCGAGTGTGAGAGTGACAGAGAGAGGTCGAGGAAGACTGAGAGAGAAATATAGAATTTGAGAGAGGGGCGCTGTTTCTTTACATTGCATACTTAGTTCCGTTGTCTTCAATTAAGCCCATAAATATTCATATCACAGTTTAAATATATGACATAGTAGAGGAATTTGAACGAAAGCGAGGCTCAGTGCATTGTGCGACTGGTTTAGTGGTGACACTCTCCAGAAAAAAAAAATTAAAAATTCAAATTTATCAAGGACCTCAGTATCAACAATGTGGTTCATGACGTCAGTGTGGTTACTGTGACCAGTGCTGTCCATGTGGTCGTGGCGTCAAATGTGGTGTGTGCGGTCAGTGTGGTCCATGTGGTCACCGCGGTCAATGTGGACAATGTGGTCGAAGATGTCAATGTGGTCAGTATAATGTACGTGGTCAATGTGGTAAGTATAATGTACGTGGTCAATGTGGTCAGTATAATGTACGTGGTCAATGTGGTCAATGTACTCAACGCGGGTTTGTACCGGAAGATATTCAAATTCATGAGTTCCCCAATCTTGTCAAAAATGACCATCGTACCGCCTCAGCTGTTATCTTCATGCATAAAGAATGGACCATTATTTTTTTACATTGTTATTTTCACACTTATCTCGTAATTTATGTATGTGATCCATGTACACTATGCGTACGTGCGTCTATTTTGCTATATAATTTTCCCAGCACTTGTATTCCTATGAAATTTATTCATGTGGTTTTTTTTTTCATACACCTCGTCAACAGATTCAGTGAACCATGACAGCCAGAAAAACGTTTACAATGAATGGTTCACATGCTTCAAGGACGGTCCAGTGAACGCTCCTCTTGTTGCAAGTACTTTATTACCTATGCATCTTAGGTTTGAAGCACATTATAACCAATACATCATAGTTGTAGGTACTTTATACCAAATGCATCATTGGTTTGAAGTATGATGCTGTACAGTGAATGACATGTATGTGTACAACCTGTGACCTGTTAAACAGTAAAGTGTTGTACTGTGTTGTGTTGTACTGTGAAATGTTGTGATCTGAAGTATTGTACTGCAATGTGATGTACTGTGATGTTTTGTACTGTGATATATTGTGATGTGACATATTGTACTGTTATGTGTTGTAATGTGAAAAGCTGTACTATCACGTGCTGTACTGTGGTGTGATGTACTTTGAAGTTTTGTACTGTCAAGTGTTTTACTTTGATCTCCAATGTTGTACAGGGAAGTTTTGTACTATGAAGTTGTTAAACTGTGAAGTGTTGTACACAGTTGTAATTTGTTCAGAGTTAGATTTCGCCATGTGTGTTACGCACACTACACCGAAACGTGTGCGTTACGCACACTACACCGAAACGTGTGCGTTACGCACACTACACCGAAACGTGTGCGTTACGCACACTACACCGAAAAGTGTGCGTTACGCACACTACACCGAAACGTGTGCGTTACGCACACTACACCGAAAAAAACAACTACGGAAATACCTCCAAAGTGATCAAGAAATTCGTAGATAAGCTTACTTAATCTGTTTCCATTATATGACCGACCGACAGACAGAAGTGATTATGTATATTGGGTTTAATATTGCTATCGCGTAATAATGGGATAGGATTATAGTGTGGTAATGAAATTTCATAAAGATCTAATCTTGTATCGCTATAAATAATTCATTTTTAATTAATCGAAAAAAAAAAAATCCAAATCGAACAGAATCCAGAACTAGACTAAGCAACAGAAACAAGGGATTCCTGCGAGACAACGTCTCTGTGCAAATAAATTCTTAAGGTTTCCCTCTTGACAGGGTGCATAACCCACATGACGCCGGCCGCACAGAAGAGCACGGCGAAAAATATAATTGGGAAGACCACGCCGGCTATAAGACCAGAATACACTGATGCCGACCATGGCGTGCTCGCTGAAGTGTCGGCTTTAGTGATAGCCTGATTCTGATTGTCATAGTTGGTCATTGTGTTCGTCATGACCGAAACTGAAGAAGTACTCGGGGGAGTAGTTTTGTCACTGAACGTGTCAGTACTTTGATCAGGAGTTGACCTAGATCCCGAGTCTACAGAGGTGTCAAGGATATTTTCAGGACTGGAGTAAACTCCGGGAAATGTCATTGAGAGAGTACTTCCCTCAGGGCTAGAGCTGGATTTCTCGTCCTTTGTGGTGACGTCCTCATGCGAGTAACTGAAAGTATTTGAGTTTGTGGTCAATCCTGTATTTGAGTTCGTGGTCAATTGTGTATTTGAGTTTGTGGTCAATCCCGTATTTGAGTTCGTGGTCAATCCTGCTTTTGAGTTAGGACTGCTTCCTGCACTTGATACCTCACTTGATGGCGATAACGCCGTACTTTTGTCAAAGTCTGGAATAGTAGGCCATACACTCGCATCACCGGGGCATACAACACCAGCATCCACGGATGTGTGCCTCTGAGATCCACAGCTAAGATGAAGAGTGCCGTTTTCACTGGACGTCTTGATACGCGCGAGGATCCTCCCCCTAATCTGACCATTCACCTTCAACCTCACGTCCACCATGTTTGTGGCGGACACAAAAAGGACCTTGTCCCGTAGAATCAAACCGGTTCGAATATTTAGCGCGTCATTGTCGAATTTGCAAGAGACGTTCCTGTGGGTGTCCAAACTTTTCATGTCCTGAAATATCAACTCCTCGGAGCACACGGTGTTATTCGCGCTCTGGTGGAGCTGAACGTGCATTCCAACGACTGTCAAGGTCGCGTTGCAGTCCCCGGTAACAACGCAACCGCATTCAGTGTCGGCGACAGCGTTAACATTTACCGTATTTGTGTCGATGACCGCATCTCCGGCGCTGACGGACTTTGACACGTTGCCGCAGACATTGACAAAATCGAAAATGTCCACGCATTCAAACTCTACAAAAGAGAACGACGTCAGCGAAGGGTACTGGGGTTGGCTGCAGTTCCCTAATGCGGAGCTTGGTCTTTTACCAGATTCGCTTGTAGCGCAGGCCAGTCTCCCAGTGCAGAGTGTGGACAGTGACTCCAGGTCGGCGTCATTCTCAAAGACGCAGTTCTCCGCGTCCTTGTACGTTCTGCAGCAGTTCTCGTACGGAGCGGTGCGGGTGCAATTTCTGGAATGCGATAGCAATTGTTGAAAAAAAAATATCTATGGTATCCAATAGATACAGGTACAAGTTCGTGTATTGGTTTATACGGTAACATGTTATTCGGAGACGGATACAGCATGTAGATACAATTAAAGAGTATACAGTCTTTTATTCATTTAGCTATCACATGGTAATTTTAGGTACACAATGCCATTAAATGTCCAAATTTTGGAATAATAATACATAGACAATGATCTATATATAATAAAGTATGTCAACACAATCCACAGAAATTTAACTATATCTTATAGTAGGCGAACACAATACACATACATTGACCTATATCTTAAAATAGGCCAACATAAGTCACATATCTTGACCCATATCTTGAAGTAGGCCAACATAATACGCCTTTATTTTGAGCATGTAGCTTACCTTGTCGTGGGCGTAGCCCCATAGAAAACACGGTGTATGATCATAATCTTATTTGCACCACCCTCGGACGGACAGCTGATGCCGTACGGGGTTTGTTCTGAGCCCCTTGTGCACGAGATGGACGAGTTGTACAAAGTGCCCATCGCCGTCTTTGTAATTGCAGCCAGGTACAAACCACCAATCAGGATTTGGAACCAAATGTTAACGAACGGAAAACTTTTCATTTTACTACGATTTTGGTATTTTCATACATTCGCTAATTGGTTCGAAGAATACAATCTAACATTTCGTCGTTATTTAGTAATCCACTTCTTGTATTCCGGTACAGCAAGTTCTTGCTTTGCCAACGTCTTTGAAAACATTGCCCGTTTTAAAGTAGTGACAAAGATGGTCAAAAATGCGATGTCTTCTATTTTCCCATTGCAATGTAGTCATGAGTAGTTTTGAGTAAAGTAAACCTGTCTTTTGTGCAATAATAGTTTAGTGTTCCAAAGATGTCTAACTGCATCTTGTTCATTTCGTTTATTGTACTGTGGCATCTACGTAACTTTCAATCCAAGCACTATTTACAGTTATTGATTATAACTATACAAAAGTCTCAAGTCTTAATTCTTGCTAAATGCTTGTACAGTCATAATATATTTAAAATAGATCATCATCCAAACTGAATATCATTTATTAAATCTTCTCCAATTTGTTGAATGAAACTACTTTAAAAAAAAAAAAATTGCTGAATTCATAAAGGCGACTAAAGATAAACAAAGAACATTGAAAATCATCACACATTTCTTCTCTTCAAGGCCAAGATTCGCATTAAATAGTAATCCAAATAGGACAGAACCAAGATCAATCGAAGAATCCCACTTTAGCTTAAATGGTGTAATGCTTACAATGTACACAGCTACGCTTACGCAGATCATATTTAACTTAACACATAACCTTGTCTACCACTGGTGGTCTGTTCATGCGAAAACACACACACACACACACGCTAGAGACACATTCAGGTAGATACAGGTAGATACATGTGTATGTATATGATGTTGTTGTTTTTTTCAGGCGATGATAAAACCCGGCCTGACAAGTTGTCATACGACATAGGTGATTTCTTTTTAAGGTCATGATCTTGCGACCACATCTGGCGCAGAGGTGTTTACCACAAAATTCGCCGTGACCCATGCGGATGTTGATTAGTAACGAAACATTTGACATGGAAAAAAAAGGCTTTTAAGTCATACAAAGAGACTTGATGTTATTGGGTAACATCATTTTTTTTTTTAAATCTCCAAAATTTAAAGAATGAAGTGTTATCAAACAGAAAAGTTATCTTGTTCAATAATACCGTGAAAGATTAAATTGTGTCAGACAAAAGATTTATTTTGAAACATTCACAAACAGGTAAACAGTTAAAAAAAATAATAATCATATCAGATATATAAGAATTAAATCATAATTTATAATTTAAAAAATATATATATAAATATACATAGTATAACATAGTCGTTACCATGTCCAAGCAATGCTTATTGCAAGAATGCATATAAAACGACCTACTAGAAATTACCCATAGAAAGGACCCACATGAAATGACCCACATGTAACAACCCACATCAAATGACCCACAAGACATGACCCACGTGAAATGACCCACAAAAATGACCCACATAAAATGCCTCACAAAAAATAACCCACAAGCAATGACCCACATGAAATGAACCACAAGCAATGACCCACATGTAATAACCCACATCAAATGACCCACAAGACATGACCCACGTAAAATGACCCACAAAAATGACCCACATAAAATGCCTCACAAAAAATAACCCACAAGCAATGACCCACATGAAATGAACCACAAGCAATGACCCACATGAAATGACCCACAAAAATGACCCACATAAAATGCCTCATAAAAATAACCCACAAGCAATGACCCAAATGAAATGAACCACAAGCAATGACCCACATGAAATGAACCATAAGCAATGACCCACATGAAATGAACCACAAGCAATGACCCACATGAAATGAACCACAAGCAATGACCCACATGAAATGAACCACAAGCAATGACCCACATGAAATGAACCACAAGCAATGACCCACATGAAATGAACCACAAGCAATGACTCACATGAAATCACCCACATGAATGACCCTTATGAGATGACCCACAAATCTATGAGAAATCAACGAATCTGCAGACACCACTTTAGTCGACTGCTTTGCATAAAGTAAAATAAGGCTGAGGTGAGGGGCTCTATACATAATCAGTGTATGGACCAAGACGCAAATGTTTACAATGCTAATCGCTCCCAACAGATTTGGTCAAGCATTTGCAGGGATATTATGTTTAAAAGAAAACAAATTCAGATGTGATTGACACAAGTGTGGTTCTTAATAAATTTAAAAAAAAAAAAAAAAAAAAAAAAAAAAAAATTCACCACCTATTAACATCTTTTAAAATGAGCATCATTTGCTTAGGCGAACAGCGTGAGATCCGCTGGGCACTCTAAAAGGACCCTCTCACAAATAGGCACACATTAATCACCTTCCTATATTCCTCGATCCCTCAAATTGTTGCTTTCTACGTCCAAACTCAGTCTTTTTTGTCTCTTTCCACCACCTTTCTCGTTCTACGCCGCTAAGCCCCACTGCCACTTTCTCGATGGTTCTCACCTTGATTCAGTTGGGGTGAGACATTAATCAAACACACAAAAATTGCACAACTGTATTATACTGTTACCTTGTACCATTGCGCCGCTGCTCTGTCTTGACAGCCATTTGTAATGGTTCTTACATTAACAGTTCAACAACCCATTGACTTTAAGAGTTTTCCCCCAATTCATGTTTAGAAAAGAACTTAGATCACGCGATCTCACCCATTCTTTCAAAAAAACACAATGTGTATGTCTCATCATTAGTGTTACTGTCTTAAAATGTATGCATTTTATTTCTCTCTCTCTCTCTCTCTCTCTCTCTCTATGGATCATTTAAACCTCATATATACTAAACACATATGATCAAAGTCCTATACCAATTCAAATATAATCCACTTGTTCATATAATATCTTATTCAATATCATTCAGTTAAGTCCTCCCCTTCAAGACCCTTGATCATTCCATAATCACATTCTAACATCAATCTCCTCCCACTGTCATTCTCCTACCCCCACCCTTACGATTCTCCTTCCCAACCAAGTTCCTCCCCAAACAAGCTCCTCCCCAAACAAGCACCTCCCACAATCAAGCTTCCCCCCCCCACAAAATTCCTCCCCCTACCGATATTCTCCCTCCACCAATCTCCTCCCTCCATAATCTCCTTTCCCAAATCAAGCTCCTCCAACCACCAAGCTTCCCCCCATCAATCTCCTGCCTCCATCAATCTCCTCCATCAACCAATCCCCCGCCACCAATCTCCTACTCTCAATCAATCTCTTCCACCACCAATTTCTCCCACCACTAATCTTATCCCCGATCAAGCTCCTCCCACCATCATGCTCCTCCCCAATCAATCTCCTCCCACCACAAAGTTCCTCGCCAAATCAATCTCCTACCACCACCAAGCCCCTCCCCAATCAATCTCCTCCCCCCACCAAGCTCCCCCAACCATCAATCTCCTCCCCCGATCAAGTTCCTCCCCAAATCAATCTCCTCCCCACCAATCCCCTTTCCCGATTAAGCTCCTCCCCCAATCTATCTCCTCCCGCCACCAAGCTCATCCCACCATCAAGCTCCTCCCTCCACCAAGCTCCTCCCACCATCAATCTCCTCCCACCACCAAGCTCCTCCCCCCATCACTTACCTTGAGGATGTTGATGTACTTCGTCATGTTGTTGAACCACATCGAGCCCATTCTGACGTCGCTCTCATTCAACGCGTTGCTTAGGATCTCACTGCGCATGCGCTGTAAGTAGGTGTCCGTTTCCTGGCCAATGAACACGGTCTTGAGGTAGTTGTTGATGTTGGCTGAGTACTCGGTACACCGGTCTAAGTAAGTCTTGCCTAAGATCTTTCTCTCCAGGTAATCCAACATTTGCTTATTGTTGTAACCACCTGTTGAATAAAAAATAATTAAAAAATAAAAACTTTAGTAATCGATTACATCTATTTGATATGAATACTTGAAAAGTATCGAACAGACTAAACCAACACCATGTTTTACAACCAAAGAAAATCTGTGGCCAATGTGTACATTCTGCACAATGGCCACAGGTGGAAGGTCACATGCCAGCAATGACCATTGGATCTGAAAGTTGAGAAATATACGTATAGAATAGGGATGGGGAGTTTTGAAGCGAACACAACTTGAGATTTGACATGAACGAGATGTGACAGGACGAGATGTGACAGGACGAGATGTGACAGGACGAGATGTGACAGGACGAGATTTTTACAGGATGTCTTGCGACAAAATGAGATTTGACGTAATGTCTAGACAATAGTGGAAGCTGGTGTTGCCACGGTCTACATGTTTACTCTCACTCTATGTCTTGCACAAAATACATATTAAAACACACCCCTAACATATACATATTAACCTTGACATTCACACACACACATACATAAAAAAATTCTTATAACATTTAACATACAGAAAGACATAAACAAAAACCCCCAACACTGCCACACCCACATATAAACACAACATTAACACGACACTGATACACACAGGTACGCATTTCTAGGAAACAAACAAACAAAAAAATTCACAAAGACACATTTACATAACATTGTAGCACCAAACACACCTTCTAACAAGACTAACTACCTTACAAGTGTCATATGCACACACACTGAGATTGAAAATAACACATCAACAAACACACACTCAAATTAAGATGTGCTCACACGAACAGAAACTGGTATAAAATAAAACAAACACTCACAAGCTATCACAAACATACACTAAGCTCACACACACACACGAACACACCGCCCTTCATCAGCTACTCACCCAGGGCGTAAAAAGTGCTCCCCAGTGCCCTCTCGACCCCGGCCTGCTCCTTGCTTAAGATTAGCATGTAGTATCCGACCAGGGTTTTCCAGAGGTCCCCACTCTGGTTAGAGAGATAACACATAGTTAACTCTGAAAAGTTTTCGTTAATATTTCCTTTGAACTGAAAGATATTAGCTTACATAAGGGGACCTCATGTGAACATAATAGTTGGTTAGTATTTGTTCTGCCATTTTTTTTCAAGTGTTGCGCTAAATTAAACTTAAATATGTCTACTGAATGTGGGGTGGCATTTTTAAGCCTCTCTTAATACGTTAAAGCTTTGGTCTACTCATGACGTAAGTTAAGATGAGACTTTGGTCAACATATGTCGTAAGCTAAGATGAGACTTCGGTCAACTTATGTCGTAAGTTAAGATGAGACTTTGGTCAACTTATGTCGTAAGTTAAGATGAGACTTTGGTCAACTTATGTCGTAAGCTAAGATGAGACTTAGGTCATTTTATGTCATAAGTTAAGATGAGACTTTGATCAACTTATGTCGTAAGCTAAGATGAGACTTTGGTCAACTTATGTCGTAAGTTAAGATGAGACTTAGGTCAACTTATGTCGTAAGTTAAGATGAGACTTTGGTCAACTTATGTCGTAAGTTAGATAAGGCTTTGGTCAACTTATGTCGTAAGCTAAGATTAGACTTAGGTCAAGTTATGTCGTAAGCTAAGATGAGACTTAGGTCAACTTATGTTTTAAGCTAAGATGAGACTTTGGTCAACTTATGTCGTAAGTTAAGATGAGACTTTGGTCAACTTATGTCGTAAGTTAAGATGAGACTATGGTCAACTTATGTCGTAAGCTAAGACGAGACTTAGGTCAACTTATGTCGTAAGTTAAGATGAGACTTTGATAAACTTATGTCGTAAGCTAAGATGAGACTTTGGTCAACTTATGTCGTAAGTTAAAATGAGACTTAGGTAAACTTATGTTTTAAGCTAAGATGAGACTTTGGTCAACTTATGTCGTAAGTTAAGATGAGACTTTGGTCAACTTATGTCGTAAGTTAAGATGAGACTTCGGTCAACTTATGTCGTAAATTCAGATAAGACTTTGGTCAACTTATGTCGTAAGCTAAGATGAGACTTTGGTCAACTTATGTCGTAAGTTAAGATGAGACTTGGGTCAACTTATGTCGTAAGTTAGATAAGACTTTGGTCAACTTATGTAGTAAGCTAAGATTAGACTAAGGTCAACTTATGTCGTAAGTTAAGATGAGACTTAGGTCAACTTATGTCGTAAGTTAAGATGAGACTTAGGTCAACTTATGTCGTAAGTTAAGATGAGACTTAGGTCAACTTATGTCGTAAGCTAAGTTGAGACTTGGGTCAACTTATGTCGTAAGCTAAGATGAGACTTAGGTCAACTTATGTTGTAAGCTAAGATGAGACTTAGGTCAACTTATGTCGTAAGTTAAGATAAGACTTTGGTCAAGTTATGTCGTAAGCTAAGATGAGACTTTGGTCAAATTATGTAATATGACATTTCCACCAATGACACGGAAGCAAAATTACTACTTGGCCTTTGCCCTTAATCCAAAGGGCTACACACCTTTGAATGCTGTATAAACTGACCGACCCATCTCATGATGACCTCGTTGTCGTCGCTGTAGAACTTAATCACTTCCGGCACTGTGATATTTGGCACAATGGTAGAAAGCAGCTTCAGCCTGGGAAGAACAAAACTCTTTGTAAAACCAAATGTCTCTTGAGCTTTAATTATTTTATCCTAAAGTATCACGTGGCAAAGAAGATTCAGACATACCATAAATCAATGTGGACTAAATTCGTATCTAAATTCTTATTTTTTAAAAATTTTGAACTAAGCATTTTCATTTAAATCAATAAGATTAATAGTTAAATTTCTAGCTTTTTGTAGGATTGTGCATTGAGGAGGAATTATGTAAATACTAAAATTATTTCTTATAATTAATGAAATGCTGGACATTTACACCATGGAGTATACTATGACTTGTTTTTATTACTTTAGTTTAAAAAAATCAGTTTCATTGTTCAAGCATATTTTACCATAAATTGAATGTTTTACTATATACTGAATGTTTTACTATAAATTGAATGTTGTACGATAAAGTGAATATTTTGCTATAAAATGATTATTTTATTCTATTGCCAATGTCTTAATATAAAGTCAATATTTTACTAAATAATGATATGTTACTATAAAGTGAATTTAGAATCGGGGGTTGCATTAGCTTGATGATGAAGATAAGGCGATATTTGATTAATAAAATGGACATATCCAGTAGGCAGAATGATATAACAATCATTTTTAAAAGACTTGGGTGTGTGACCAAAATATCGTCATTAAAATCATCAAACAAACCTATGCGCCATGCAGAGATTACGGAGAAGAAATAATCAAATAAACATCAAAAAGCTCAAACGGATCTCTTTTATTTGTAGTGTCAGGTTAAAAAAATAACCTATCGTGCTCTCTATGCCCTCGCGCTATAGATGTAATCAAGATCAGAAGTTGAGCAACTGACACGGGGCGCCCACCTAAATGCTTTGATGTTGTCATGAAAGGCGCGAGACGACCGGAAGTGGTCAATATTGGGCTCCACCACCCATCTGGTCAGCCCCGATATGGCCTTATCTGTCTCCTGGTAGGCGGCCGTGAGGTTGATCAGCACGCCATGATCGCCTGTGGGGGGGGTGGGGGGTGGTTTGTGGAATGGAAAACAAATGGATTACAAAAGTGGGACCCATTTCTTTTCTTTTTTTTGGGGGGTTGGGGGTATCAAGGTGGGGGTGTATCAAGGAGTATCAATGTGGTTTGTGGAATGGAAAACAAATGGATTACAAAAGTGGGACCCATTTCTTTTCTTTTTTTTGGGGGGTGGGGGGTATCAAGGTGGGGGAGTATCAAGGAGTATCAATTTATTTTGAAATAAAAAATTTCTTAAAGAGAACAGACAGTGTAATCGAATGGTGTAAAAGTAAAAAACAACGATGAAAAGTTTAAAATATTGAGATAAATAAACAATGAGGCAATAGTTATATTATCAAAGTAAGTAAACATGGATGCAATAATTATAACCAGAGCCTTAGATATGTGAAAGCTTTATAAATTTTTACTTTCAAAAAAAAAGAACAAAAAAAAACATCTTTAATTTATTTGTAACTGACTAAGGAAAATACCAAGATATGACCTGAACTAAAGAAAAGACCAAGATGTGACCCAGAAGTGACCAATCCGTAACTTAACACATCATGTATTTTGTGCAGTTTTATGCCATACTTAACAAAAGCTATTTTGAGAATTTCCAAGTTATGTCTGATTGACAAAGTTTGAACAGGTAGCAGTGAACTTGGTGATAACGATGTTGATTTTCGTGTTGCTGTCTGAGCTCGTGATGATAACACCGCGGCGAATGTGATAAGACGAAATCAGATGTGTACACACACACCAAGTCCTTTCAGTTCTAATCGTATCTGGTCGTTCAGTGCACATGAGTTTTGGAAGAGGTCGCTGAGCAGCCAGGACATTTTTAATAGGTTGTGAGTAAACAGGACATTTGAAATAGGTCTTAACATGCATGCTATTTAGAATAGGTCGTTCACCAGACATGACATTCGGCATAGGTTGTACAATACACATGCCATTTGGGATAGGTCTTTAAGTAGATGTCACATTTGGAATAGATCGCTTGGTAGGCATGACATTTGGGATAGGTGGCTCAATAGACATGACATTTTGAATAGTTCATTAAGTAGAAGTGACACTTGGTAACAGTTCGTTCAGTAGACTTGACATTTGGAATAGGTCATTAGGTAGACATGGCATTTACAATATGTCGATTAAATAGCACATACTATTATATCACTTTAAATTATCCGTAATTTAAAAAAAAACAAAGGTTACTAGGTCTTAGCGGAATTCTTTCACGCAATTTACGTCACGTGATACCAGGTGACAACATACGTCAATTAACGGGGCTTGTGACATATGTTCTGAAGAGTCATCTAAATTTTCACATTTAATCTTTACGGTGTTATTTAGCAGATCAATAACTTTTATATTTGGGAGCACCCAATCATATATCAGGAGTACTTTTATACAAGAAGAGACCCGAAAGTTATCTTTATTATTTATGCCATGCACATGTGCCTGATAGTTACCTTTTACTACTGACCTAATATTACCTTTCTCACCGACGTACTGTTACCTTTTACTACTGATGTGATATGTCCTTTACTATTGACGTAAATTACCCTAACTACTTGCTTAAAATAACTTTACCAATTACGTAATGTTACTTTTATACCGACGTAATTTTACCTTTACTACTGACGTAAATTACCGGTATTACTTGGGTAATATTACTTTTACCACTAACGTAATATTACCTTTATACAGACGTAATATTACGTTTACCAATGACCATAATTTTACCTTCCCTAAGGACGTAATATTGCCTCTACTACGGACGTAATATTACCTCTACTACGGACGTAATATTACCTCTATCACGGACGTTATATTACCTCTGCCACGGACGTAATATTACCTCTACCACGGACGTAATATTACCTTTACTACTGACGTACAGGGCCGTAGTCCCACGTTCAATCTGGGTTCTGTGTATGACGTTTCCGGTCTCAACACTGAAATTAAACAAACATACACATGCATTTAATTGTATGTCATTTAGATACACACAGTTGAGGCCACGCATATACACACAATAGCTGTCATGTGTATACATTCAGTTGTATGTCATTTATGTAAATATAGTTGCATGTCATTTTTATACACACAATTGTATGTATAATAATAATAATAATAAGTGGTCTTATATAGCGGGGTACCCCGGCCTAGGGCTGGGCTCACCGCGCTGTACATATATAGCAAAGAGGCATAATCATAATATTAAAATAAAATACATAAATGAAATAAAAACAACATATAAGCAAAACAACACCATAGGTATATTCATCCACCCACACCAGACATTTTTACAAGGAAACCCATGTACGTTTATCGGTTTATAGGAGGAGAATCAGTCAGAG